TAAAACCTATATATATATATGTATATATGTATAGGCATATATAGACATATATATATATACAATGAATTCTATATATGTATACGTACATATATACCCTATATATGCATGTGTGTGTGTGTGTGTGTGTGTGTGTTGTATGCGTGTTTATATCGTATATAGCTTATATGTAAATATTTGTTTAATGTATACATATATATAGATATATATAAGTATGTAAGTGTATGTGTATGTAAGTATAAACTATAAGCCTATAAGAATATAGTTGTAGTATCTTTTATGCATTTCTCATATGTAGCTTTTCAATTTTCGTTTTATGTTCTTTTTTATTTTTTTTTTTTTTTTTTGGATTAATCTCAATATGCATATGCATCATACGATTATTATGAATTCGTTTCGGTGTACAAAGTTGTTGGTTTTGTTTTCAGTGTTGTTTTCATTTGTTCGTTTTCTTTTTCTTTCATTTTGCTGGAAAAACCAAAATCATAGAAAAATGTTTAGCAAGTAAAAAGTTCATAGAAAAATTGTTTTTTTGGCAAGTTTTTGTTTGTTTTTTTAGGTTAGCAAATAAAATGTTTTGTCATTGTTTAACTTTGTAGTTGTAACTCGTGTAAGCAGCATGGTATAGAAATATTTCAAAAATCGACTGCGCGCTTGACTGAAAACGATTTCAGAAACGAAATTTCGATTACTTCTGTGGCATACTCGTTGAGCTTACAAAATGCAGCGACTGATGCCATTTCTCTTGCGAGCTGTTTTTGTTATCGAAACCTATTGACAAGAATATTTAAGTGAAGTTGCCTATCGATAATTATCGATTACAATCTATGAGAAAAGTGTTAAGTACTCAACTATATATACCCATTTTGTCGTGGCATTTTGCCTAGCAAATGCGCGGCTAATTTCTTATCGATAAATATCGATTTTGTTTTAATGAGATCAGAAGCCGGCTTAAAGGTTACCTCTCTAACATAACGATAACAAATTAGTATGAAAATCACTTTCAGGTAACGCAGTCGATTCAAGATTGTTTGGATATTTGTGGGATAGCAGTTTTCAACTCGTGTCTTCGGTGTCTTGGGTGTTTGTTGTTGCTGTTTCATCATATTTGGACGGTTTCATCAATTAATGTATAAATTGTTATTTTATATTTTTGTTTTGTTTTTAATCTTGGTGGTTGTCAATTCATTGCTGAATAAACTGGTCCATATTTTGCTGTTGTGTAATTGTGTTGTTTGCGAATTACAAGAACTAAGTAAAACCGTTTCGAGCAGGGGTTTTCTAATTAGGGGACGACGGGACGGGGAGGTAAAGAAATCGAATTCGAGTTATTTTATAAACAGCACCTACCTTGTGCCTGCCCATGCGCATATTTTTTATTTAGAGTTGAAAACTACGCAGCAATACAAATCAGAGAAAATAGGGAGCAATAAAAAGATTTGCAAATTATTTGCTACGAAATCGAAAATAATTCAAATCATATGCAAAATTGTGTCGAACTGAGGAGTGTTCTTTTGTTTGCTTTTAACAACCTTACAATAATTAATAATCAATAATCAATTTTTGCTCTTAGCGAAATTTAGCTAGTTCCAACGTGTTTCAAACAAAATGTGACAAATTGCGACTAAAGTTCTCAAATTTCTTTTGGCTAATTGCTCGAATTGCTGAACACAAATCAAATAAAAACAATTTGGCTAGGTTTCGTTTCTTTTCCAATGAACCACCACACTTATCTTAACTCAACATCGCTTAGGTCTACACATACAATTTTTGCTGGGCGTTTCTCTCTTCTATTATATATATATATATATATTTATATATAATTTTTTTTTCAAGATTTCATTTTGTTTTTAACAAATGGGGATTATGTTCTGTTAGCAGTTTTGTTCAGTGAAAGTATTCTCGGGGTTTTGCTCTCATTTCAATCAACATTTGTAATGCCTAAATTGTAAAATCGTTTGAATCGGCCTTATAAATTTCGATATGTTAAAAATTCAGGAATTACACGCTTTAACAATTTGGCATATCTTTTTTTTTTTTTTTGGTATCGAGTTAGTTATTATTGGTTATTATTTTTTTTAATAAAAATAAAAAAAGAGACTGAACCGGGCGTTGGGCGTAAGGCTTTGCGCGTTGCTAGGATGTGGCTTGTTGCGAGTTTTCTATAGCAAATTATTTGTCACGTTTCAATTCCTGTAAAAACACATATTTATCGTAATATATAAAAACTATTTTCCATGTCTTGTCATATATAGATAGATAGATGAGATGAACCAAAGAAATACAATTGCTAAATAATTTTACATATACATATATATATTTATATCAAAAAAATCGAGCGCGCGTATTACAAACTTTGGGCACACAATAAACGCGTTAAAAAATAACAACAAAATTTAAATATTAAATAAAACAAATTAAACATAAACATACACATACATATATATATGTATTATATATATTTAAAAATATATATATTCAGAGCTTGTTTGCTTTAACTCATAAGAAATAAAAAAATTAAATTACGCATTTGTTGAATTAACATTGAAAATTCCATATTGAATGGTTTGATTGTTTTTCATATTATATATAAATCATATAGCTACCAAGTTGTAATTGTTACTGTTATCGATTTAGTTTGTTATACATTTAGAGTTTTATTTTAGTTGTATATTATTTTTATTTGTTTATGCACTAATTAGGAGCTTCAAGATCGTTGTTGCTTTAAGTTCTTAAGAAAATAAATTGTTTGATTTAATTAACGAGATTTTCGCTTCATTTCTTCATTTTTATGCTCTTGTCCATAAATCATTAAATTAAGTACAATTATACTTAATTATAGAAAAATATTTTACAATTTATACGATTTACAACAATTTACATAAGAACTAAGACGCGTTTAAAAAATAGAAATTAGATGAAAACTAAACGAATCAAATGAGCACAAAAATTGCAAATAAATTAATTAGAAATGAAAGTGTTTTTTGTTAAAGCAATAATTGCACATTAGTTTAAAAAGAATATAAAATTAAAGTATGAGAAATATATGTGTATGTGTATGTGTGTGTGTTGTAGGTGTGTGTACTAAGTGTCTGTGTTTGTTTGGTTTGTATGAAAAATTCGTTTAACGGCTCTATATAGCATATAGTATTCGTTGATTTGCATTTTAGAACATAGAACTTTGCCCTGTTTAATGTACAGACTGTCTAAAAATAAGAGAAAATTATTTTAAATGTTTTTTCTTTTTATAACTAGCTGCAGTTGCTTTAAAAGAAATGAAATTAATTATTCTTTTAATGTTTATTATTGTTTTCCCTTTTCATTTTGTTAATCTTTAATCTAACATACGCCTTTGATATGGTTGTTGTTGTTGCTTTTATTGCTGATATTTTCTCTTTTTATATAAATTTTAAAGTTTTTATATTTTTTTAATGCGTCACGCCAAAAATTACTTGGAGTTGTGAAATGTTTGGCTCTCTTGTCTTAAAACGCCTCAAAAATATGCATTTATTTTGTTAATATTTTTTAAATTTATTTTTTAGTTTTTATGTATGGTTTTAATTTATTTTTAATGCCTGTCTCAATTTCGCTCTGCACTTAATTTTATTTTTTTAGTTGTCGCTTTTTACATTTAGTGTAAAATTAGAATTAATATTAATTTAAATACATATACAGCTCATACATATATAAATTTATGCCTTTTGTTTTAAACTTTCTTGTAAATTAAGCACATAAATTATGTTAATGTTTTCTTGTCTTTTTGTCGTTTTCATTTTCATATATATAAATATTTAAAAGAAAAATCATAATTTAAAAACAAAAAAACATTGGCTTGTGCAAGTTTTTTTCCTCTTCTTTCTTGTTTTAGAAATAAAGTTAATAAATTTGATTTAAAATTGCTAAATTTTTGGTTTAATTTTACACGTTTTGCGCTCTCGCAACATTTTAGTTTAATTTGTTTTTCTCTTAATATTTTTGATTTAATATTTTGTTTTTAGCATCAGATTTTTGTCTCACACGTGAAATACTTGTCGAAATATTGTCCAAAGAAATTTGTTGTTGCATTTGTTTTTATCCCATATATAATCTAAATAAATGATATATAATTAACTAAAATAATTTATGTTATATATATACACATATAATATACATATATATTTATATATACATATATTTATATATATATATATACATATATATATATAATGTAGTTGAAAAAGTCGGTTGATTTTTGTTGTTTTCATTTTTTCTTTGCGTTTTTGTGTGTGTTTAATATATGTTTTTATTATAATATATTATAATTGCATATTACATTGTTTACAATTTGTTGTTTGTTATGGTTGATGTTCTTGGTGTTCTTGTTGTTGTTAATGTTTTTCTAGAATTTCATCAAGTGCGACACACACGAGAAACTTTACAAACTCAAAGCAAGAAAAAACGTAACATTTGTTGATGTTCTTGTTTTTGTTGTGGTTGTTTGTTTCTATGTCAATGTTTTGGTGTTTGTTTTAGTTTAAATTTTTTTTGAATGCAACTAAACAATTTATAACCTAATTTTTATTTTTTTGCTATTCTTTCACAATTTTAATAACATTTCCTTGTTTGGGGACGCAAACGCATGTAAATAGTGCTTAAGTTTAAATGTTTGTGTGTGAGTGTGTGTGTGTATGAGGAGTGTGTCTGTGTAAGGGGGCGAGCAGGTGTAGATGTGTGTGTTGCTTTTGAACGACGCCATTTTGTAGATGAATGTGTTGGATTATGTTTAATTGTGATTCGATTTGGGTTTAATTCCTTTTAAATACAAGTAAATGGCGCGTTGAAAAGTTACATGCGTTTGCGAATTGTGTTAAGTTTTCTTTATTAATATATTTATAAATATATTTTTGTATTAGTTTAAGTTTAAAGTTAGTGTGTTTGCGTGTGTATTTGTGTGTGTATATGAGTGTCAGTTTGCTTGTCAATTATACAATTTAAGCATATGTATGTAATCAGATTTGTTATTCTTGACTACTCTCAGTTTAGTTGTTCGTTCCATCAAGATATTTTTATATATATTTATGTGTTCAATATTCATATTGTTGTTGTTGTTGCCGATGTATGGGGCTGCTTCTCTTCCCATCGCGTTCCAATATGCTCCATAATAAATTCTACGCCTCCTGAACTGTTTATTTGTGTTGGTTTGCTGTTTTAGTTGTAGTTGTTGTGTCGTTTAGCTGGTTGTTGTTGGCTGCTTACACAATGGTAATCAAATCTCAATTGTAAATCTCCACCTTGACATCGCCGTCATTCTCCTTCTCGATCATGCCCTCGTTGGCCGCATTGTTCCAGGCCCCGTTCATGCTCTTCGACGAGGAGAAGCACAGCTTCATGATGAAGGGGAATTTAGTGCCTAAAATTTTGTTGAATTTTTTTTGGTTTTTTGGTTTGTTTGTGTCGCAGGTTTGTAGGTGGATATACCGAAAAAATAAAGAACGGGGTAAAAAGAAATGCATAGTTATAGAATAAATGGGGTTTCCTTCGTTGCTAATAATTGTATTTTCATAGTATTGTTGTAGTAATGTGTATAAGTGTTGTATATCTGAATCAAGTTATTTGCTTTTCGCAGAGTTCCGTGAAGGATAAATGGGATTGGGATGGATGGGATGAAGGGAGGAGTAGATGGGGAAGCAGGCAGCGGGGTTGGCCATATAGAAAACGGCTATTTAATTTCCACTTTGTTGCGCAATCAGCGAAAAGTTGACCATCTTAATGGCCCCAAAGCCCATCGACCCTGAATTTATATGAGGCTGCATGCAATTAAAAATCATTATGATGCTATTATAGAGAGCACATGACTAGCTAATACCCTGTAACTAGAAAGAAAGGCAGCCTGATACCCTCCTGTGGAGATGCAGTAAGTTTGAGAACTCGTAGAAAATGCCAAAGTTCGGCTAGCTGATATACTTTTCTGCTAGGTCTAAAGGGTATAGCCAAGGACTTGGCAAGCGCAATAGATCGTTAAGGTACTTGGTAAACCGACTAAGCGAGTTTTATGTGCCAATTAAATGCGGGCACCGTCATAAAAATACTTTGGGCTCCAATGCAATCAAAATCATTCAAATGTAAAAATTGCCAACCATCAGCAGAGCAGAGCACACACACACACACAGATCTATAAGCGTGTGAGAGAGAAGCGTTAAAAATATTTTGCTAGATGCATAATTTCTGCAGCCTGAAAGTATGCAACGGCATCTGTTTGCATTTAGCATTTGCTATTTGCACGCGTCTGCGGGCGATACGAGCGTGTGTGTGTGTGGGTGTGTCGAAGTGCGTGTGGGTGGGTGAGTATTTGCATTCCTTACATTTTTAATTACTATTTACCATGCACTCGAGCGGGCTCTCGATGCAGCAGCAGCAGAAATACATCAACATCAAATATGCAAACACCCACCAAAATATTGACAAAATACATATGCACGCACGCACACATATATATGCATATACAATATATATACAATACACACGCACAAGTTGGCATTGCCTGCTGCACCCCTTCCCCGTCTCTCAAAACTTTCTCGCAAGGCTTTGCTATTTGCATAAAAGATTTTTACGCTAGGTGTAAACAATGATAGCAGTCTATACCCTTGTGCACCACACACATCGTTGCACCACTCGGCGGCAATGCCAGCACCTGTAAAAAGGTATGCCAATGCCAGGCCAATGCATGCAAATTTTTCGGGGCACTGCATATCAAATGCGAATGGGAATACGAATGCGAATACGAATACGTGTTGTTTCTACAGCACGCAGCAGGCAAATAGGTTAGCATTCTCCATTGAGCTGAATGTCGATAATATTAGCAGAGAGTCAATAGCACAAGTAGCTGCCATGATGCCATTGATATTCAGGTATGGGCTATCGACTACGTTTCACTACTTCCAGAAGTATTTACAGGAATTGGTAAAGGTTGTTGGGGTTTTTAATAGGATTATTAGCAGGATGTGCGTATCACAAAATATTTTCATCGATAGGGCTCTTATCGATAGATTTCTGAACCGAATATGGATAACATTCGGGATAGTTCTGATTGTGGAGAAGTAATTAATGTTCGATTTTCTAAGAAAATAGTTCTAAGCACATCCCCTTCACTGTGCAGTTGGGCACTACGAAGTAGACAGAGCGCTACAACACGTAACTGGCATAAGAGCTTTGGCAATGAAATGGAATTGGGTATCGAATTTCTAGGGAAAAATATGTAACATTGAGGTAAGATACTTTTCTCAAATACAAACAAAAATGGGGTCAACCAATCGGAATGATTATTTCACGAACATTTACTGCAAATTTGTAAGTCCTTGTTGACAAGGTAAATAAAGGCGAGCAGCAAAAACAAATGTAAACATCATAATAATCTTATTTGTGCTCTGGAAGTATTTATGGCAAAAGTTTAATGGGAGAAACGAGTTTATGGATGGAGCTGGCCACAGGGGTAAATGTTGTAATAGCTTATGTCGTCACAGATTGGGGGCTCTATGAAATAACTGGCTACCGAAATTGTTTATCTTAATTACCAAATTAAAATTTTCAACGCGAAAACTTTGATGCTAGCGGTGTCCCCGTGCATAGGCAAGCACAAGAAGGAAGTCTAATAAAAGTTTGCTGGATTGCTGGTTGGGTGGTTGGGTGGTTGTGAGAATGATGGGGCGTGTGCTGGGTGGTGTTTGGTTTGGTTTGGTTGTGGTTTGGTGTGATGGTTCAGCGGGCCGGCAGCATAAGTCAAGAGGCCATTCCGAGAATGGCGTCCAAACTTTTGCATATTGCCCGCTTTTTGGGGTTTTTTTGGTGTGGGAAAATGTGGATATTTTTTGCGAAAATTTTGTGTAACTTTTGCTTTTTCAAATTTTTTTTTCATTATTTTTACTGGCCATATGCATAAAATTTTTGTATAGCCAACTTTTCGATTTGTACTTTTCTTGCTTTCATTTTCTTTTTCTTTTTTCGAGAAACACTTAAACACAACACTATCTCACCTTTACCCTCAATAGGCAGATGGTTGCACTTCATGATGGCGAGCACGGCCTGCGAAATGTTGGGGAACTCGATCAGGCCCGAGGAGGAGCGCTCTGTCTTCAAGGGGAAGAGGCGCACGGATGTGGCTGGCACCTCCTTAATGTTGAATATGCCAATGAGCTGGTCTTCGGTGAGACCGGGCGGTGTGTTGAAGAAGTGCAAGATCTAAATGAAGAAAGCATTTATATTAAGAATTATTATAGCTATTTAAGAGTTAGTTGCTTTTCACTTACTTTGCTCGGTGGTTGAATGCGATTCTTGCTGGCCTGTGCCGGTGATAGGAAACGATTGTTTTTGGAGCCGGTGTACTCCTTGAAGCTGGGTGTATGATCCGGCAACAAGAATGGATTGATCACCTCCGATAGGAAGTTCTGCTTTGAGAATGCAATCTGTATTTTGCCGCCAGTGCCAACGGGAATGTTATTCAAGTGCTGCACGCAACGTTCAACGGCAACCGAATCGCCCATTTGTACCATGGCGGTGCCTTCCTTTGTCTTCAAGAACTTGATCTGCAAAGCGAAAATATATATGAGTATATTTGAAAGATGTTACTGTATGCTATAAACTATGTCAGCTTATATATACTGTATTATATATTATATTATATACTATATATTATATTATATACTGTATGCTATAAACTATGTCAGCTTATATAGTTCCCCCTTGTTAGGTTCCCCTCTTGTCATGAATCTTTCTCCTATATTGACTAAAAGAAGCTCTTCTTTTCAATCCTTCTGCATTTTATTTACATGGACTTTTGCCTCATAATACGAGAGCTTATTTTTTGTCAGTTTCGTCTACCAGTTCCATGCTTAAAGCCACACAACTATTTCAATAATGTGCAGTCACTTCTCAGCTCAGCAACTGTCACCGCAATTTGTGTCGCAAATGTAAATAAATGCAATTATGTTGCAGCTACACTCACGTGTACTTATATTCAATTCCAAACACTAGCACATATGGCCAGAACACCTGCAAAACCCCACCCATTTCATGCACTGGAGACACTCATCGACTGTCACAGACGAGTGTTGACCTGTCGTTTGCCATTTGATTGAATTTTCTCTTGCAGTGTGTGTGTGTGTGTTGGTTTTAACCCTATCCTCTTAGCCGAGAAGCTGTTACTGTGTCTGTGTAGAGCTACGATTTTATTGAATTCAATTTAAAATGTTGCTCAAAATCAAATTATCAAATTGAATGACACCCTTAATTTGCTGTCCATTGTGCGATCTTTGGATGGTTCCCTATTGTTCAATTATATCTATATTATATATATTTTTACAATTCTCTTCTGTACGTGACAAATTATCAAGGGATGAAATGCTCTAGAAATCGTTGAGGCGTGTGGCTAAATTTAAGGACTGACATAAGCACGTAGGGTTTAGGTAACAATATTTCGTTTTCATTGTAGAATTCCCCTTTAGGAAAATCTTGCTTTTCCAACTTGGATATGCTAACAATTTGTGGTCTCAGTTGAAAACATTTATAGAGCATTAAATTGCGCGGTTTTAGGCTTCAGAGATCCATGTGGCTTCCGCAAATGTTGTTTATGGCTGGATTTCATCGCGCGCTTTCCAAACTAATTGTTAACATAAATATGTATAAGCCCTCAACTATTTGTGGCTAGCACAACTGGCCGCTATCAACTGCCAACGAGCCAAGCCTTTCGGCTGTTAAGCCTCGTTAACTTAATTAGCCATAATAGCCAAATGCGAGTGAAAGTGAAAAATCTATGGAAAATGTTTGCAGTTTTGGTTCGCTGATCGTTTGGCTGTTCGCAGTTGCAGTTGCTGCTGTTGCTGTTGCTGTTTCGAGGCATTGAACTCGTTAAGTGAAAACGTGTTTTTGCACCTGCACCAAAATTGGCATCGCTCAATTTTTGGTTCGTTTTTGTTTTTGCTAAATGCATTTAAGCCAAGTTGTGCAGTGCTTTAATTGTCATGTTGAATGGCTGCTGTTAATTTGCGAGCGGGTTTTGATTTATTTAGCTGCAGTAAAATAAGAAAATGCTTCACTTAGGTCAAAACTGAGTTATAACTGCGGGCATTTAAGCCACATAATTGCAGCCTGTGTCGGGGTCTTGGGCCCGTTTTCCACTTGAAAGTGACAGGCAAATTGATTTGTTTGCTGTTGGTTTGGTATTTTGTTGCTGCCGCAACAGTAGCAGCAGCAGCAACTCCCCAGTTAACAGCAGCAATTGCCAAGAAAAACTACGGCAATCAAGTCAAGTGCCGCAATATTTTCTCGACAAGACATTTTTATTTAACTGAGAAGTAGCTCAGCTAAAGAAAAATATAATGAAGAGTGCAGATCATAAAGGCAATAATGCGAAATATTAAAATTAAATTTTCTATTTATTTTTATCTTTAAAATTTTGTTTATATTTTATAACAGTTTCTATATTTTAAATTTTAGATATTTATTTTTCATCTTTAAAACTTTGTTTATATCTTACAAAAATGCTGCTATATTTCTTTGATATTAAATTATATATATATAAATATATCTCTTATAATTTAAAATATAAATATTATAAATATTTCTCTTTACCTTTAGCAGAGATTTGCCCACATAAAATATGCATTGTTTAATTTGCAACCTAAACCTAAACCCAAATAAAAACCAAAACAAATGTGTATAATTAACTAGTGAATAATTTAAATTGCTTCCCAAAAACCAAGCAGATTATAGTTGCAAAATAAAAACAAAGAAAGGTTGCTATCAAACGAGTACAGACACGGAGCAGCAGCAGCTGTAGCTTATGCCATGCCCATAAAAATATCGAAAGGCATATACGCTTGAGTGAAACAGGAATCCGAATTGCGAATAAAACATGACAAGAGACAGAGCGTAACAGGAGAGAGAGAGTGTGGGAGGGGCGTAGAGTGAGAGTGTATGAAAACTAAATGAGGCTTATCGAAAGGTAGGCCCACGCTTGGCTAGAAATCATATAAAAATAAAGCCCCAAAAATATATAAATAAATATAAACCATAAATCAGTGAGGCAGAAAGCGTGCAGATAGGCGCTGCCAATTCCCAGAAACAGGCGCAGACAAACAGCCTAAAACAAAAGGCATTTTCGGGCAGAGGGCGAGAGCGCGCTTGGTCAGGGCATTATGGACGAGAACACGCAAAACAGGCGCCAGGACATTCACAAATCAAAGAGCGTTCGCTGCTCATGGCTCACTGGCCAGCGAGTGGGCGAGCGAGCGACAAACATTTGGTGCGTGCCTAATGAGCTGTGCTGTTTCCCTCTCGCTCTTTGCCCTTTCACCCTCGGCTAACTGCCTAGCAGCTAGCCACCGTTTCCTCTCCGCATCCATAAATGGCAGCCAACAACAATTTGCTATCAGATACTTTCATGCGTATGCTGCGTTAATTAAAAACAATGCCTAGACACAAGCGAGACAAGTGATGCGCGGCCAAATACCTTGTATTTTAAGCGTATATAACATATGCTTAACGGTATTATAGCTGTCCTTACTCGGCATACCCCATGCTACCCTAGTTGGCTGCTCTTTGTTAGGCTGCTCAATGTGGCGTGGCGTGGCGTCTGCTGCCATTTGATTTAATTGCTCACGCGGCAACAACAACCACAACAACAACAACAGCAGCAGCAGCAGCAACAATGACAATAGAAAGAATATTGGCTGCAGCATGAATGCTTGCGTCCAGGTTTATTTTCCAATGGGCATATATACTCCAATTCCCAACGGGCAACCCCAGCGACTCCCAGCCCAAAAGCGAGCCAAATGCTTTTTTAATGCGCATTTAATTGAGTGCGTGTGATTGTTGTAGCAGGTCGTTGTGTTGTAGCTGCTGCTGCTTTTAAAGACATTACCAATTTGGACGTGTGCAACAGAGCTTTTGGCCTCTCGCCTCGTATTTGTCAAGCCATTTAACCTGAAAATCAATTTGGACGATGACTTCATCACAGCCCCTACGAAAAATATAATTAAATCGACTGCCAGGCGGCGCTGAGCTCGTTTCTTAAATCGTTTTTTTTTCCCCTTTTAAACAACTTGGCTGGAAAAACTTGTTCATAAAATATGCAACACACATCGCAGACATCAGCAAAATGTAGTTGGATATTCGCTTTGAAGTATGCCTTGAAAATTACAAAACTCAGCCAGCCTGGCAGGCAGTTAGTCAAAGTCAGTAAATTGGCTGAGACTCGGAGTCAGGTGCAAGAATATGCAGGGTATAGGCTTGTGCTAGCTCATCTGTTGGTTGATTGCCCTTAAGCCAAAACGGGATAAACGAATCTCAGCTACTTTTCCGTTAGGCTGGGCTAAGCTAATGCCAAATTCTATCAGGCTTGACTTATGGCAAGTGCGTGATTTCTCTGTCCTAGTTAGAAAATTGATTTCGTTTCTGGGATTATTAAGGGCAATGAAATTGTGCGAGGTGAACTCGCAGGTTTAAGAACTAACTTGAATTCTATTATGAAGTAGACCTCAATATGGATTGATAAATTATTGGAAATGATGCGAGAAGATCTTATTGTGATAAATCTGAGATTTGATTCACTAGAATGATCCTGGAATGCATCCATCTCTAAGTAGGCACCTTCATCAGAAGCGTTGATTTCTCAGTATTGATTTTGAGTATTGGTAGAGAGCATTCATTATTCCTTATGCAAAGCACACAGACGTATTTTTATCGCTAATCTACAGCACATGTTGCCTTTAAAATGAGATCCGCTCTGTTGGGTGGCAAGCAGCAGCCACACGCCTGCCCCTTAGGGAGACACATTAACACCAACAGCAGCAGCAGCAGCAGCAGCCTCAAGTTCAGGCAGCACTTTGATTGAGTGCCCATCAATTTCTCATTGGCAATTCAAACATGTCGGACATAAACTGATGCGAGCGCACACACATTGACAGAGAGAGAGAGAGGTGAAAGGAGAAGAGCGCACACATATGTTGGTTTATAATGAGGTTGCCTTAGTGCCCACGTGGTGTGGTGTATGGCTTCTTTAGCGAGAGCGCGTTAGGAGATTGCCTTCTGACAGTGGGTGTAAGCAGGCTGCTTTGTGGCTTAGGAGTTCTCGGTCGCAGTGAATAATGTTTGCGCATAATCATTTTTAATGGCTAATGAGTAGTTTCCGTCTCGGACAGGAGGTTCGTAATAAATCTCACCAACAGCAACAATAGCAACAACTAAATTGCCTTTGCCTTGGCATTATCGTCCTGCTGCTAGCTGCTAAACCCGATTATTCAACTATTTTGCCCTGATTCCCTTTTCCTGCTTTCGTTGTTGACCAACGGACCAAGGCTAGGCGCCTGTCAGTTTGCTTTTAGTTTTACTATTTTTGTTTTGCGCGCAAATTGCATTTAATTGTAGAAGGGCGTGAGCAAGTACCCAAGGCGTGGCACGAGTGTGTGTGTGTGCTTGAAGGTTGTTAAATAATTGGCTAATGGAGTGCAATTGTTGAAAAATTGGCTGATGGCAAATGCTGCGATTTATGAAGTGGAAACTAAGATAAAAGCAAAAAGCGTTGCCATCTTTTCGATAATAAAGTGTTGCCATATGTTGCCCAAGATAAGCTGTATACATAATCAAAAATATAGTTTAATATATAATAATATATTAAGCAACATTAAATGGAGATCTACAAGATTGTTACATTTCATTATATGAAGAGTCTCCACAAATTATCTAAAGGCGTTGCCAGATGGTATATAGCTCAAAAAATTTGTAGCTGCCATATCAATAATCTTTTGTTAAGTCTTCTATCTACTTGCCCTCTTGAACTTTTAGTATCACACACTCGTGACCTTTCACCTATGGCTATTCCCAGTCCCATTTTCTACTGCTCGAGACATTAATTCAAACGCTTTTTTCTTTTCGACTCCCTCGAGTTCTATTTCCATTGTCGTCAGTTACCCGTTAAAAAAACTCGCGGGATTCGCGCTTTGCTGCAAGCATTAAAGTAGACAAAAGCGAGCGCAACTTTGTTATTTTTGTTGTTTTATTGTCCTTGTTGGGGTGCAATTATCAAAGGACGCACAGAGCGCGCCACTCAATAAAGTGAAAGCGAATCCTCAGCTGTTGCCGGGAAACTTCTTCCCTTTCTTGCATTCGCTTTATTAACACTGCGACTTTGATGTAGCTTTCGCTTTTTTAAGTTTTCCTTTTGATCGCAATTGTGAATGGCAGTTCAGGGGCCACGGAATGATTCGTGATAGTTGTGCGCTAAATGCTCCCCAAGCGCGTCGTCCACTTCAATTGTCACTCTGCCGAAGGTGGAGTCTTTGCTTTCTCCTAATGGATGTTTTTTTGGGGCATATTTTGATTTACTTTTCGAGCGAGAATTGTTGCTCGAAGTGCCTTTTGTGGTACTTCTGAATTGGAATCAATTCCTTTCGCATCTTCTCTTTTTTATTTGGTAGTGTGGCGAAGGAAAGATGATGGTGCATTGATTGCTGCCCGAGGACCTACGCGTACGCCTTCTACTCTCCCCTATTCCCTCTCCCCACCCCCTTTTTTCCACACATGTGTCTGGGCTTTAATCTAAAACGCTTTATCTAAATGTGTTTTGGTTGTGGACCAACTGTCCCACGTTTGTTTGTATGTGCCTAAAGGGGCTTTTGGCTTCTGTGTCCTGGCCTTTGCCTTCAATTTTATTGCCTTTCGTTTTATTTGCGCATTTACAAATGGAGCAAATACACACACACACGTATGTGTGTATACACTCAAATATCTTGCGGGTTTTGTGGCTGCTAGCAACACCTTTTTTTAACGGCGTCTCGCTTTTTTCGTGTCATCTTGCTAAGTGCAAGTTTAGGAGCTGCCCCGTCCAGTGTCAACGCCGAACACGACAGCAGGAAGCAGCTGCCGTCTTTAAGTAGCAATTGAAGAGATTTAAGTTAGGTAAAAACTAAATAAAAACTTTTAATACAGTTGCCAAGTCACAATTTCACAAAGTTCTTTAGTGACTTTTTAGCGCGAAGTTTTATGATATCTTGAATTATTTTTTTAAATAGAAAGAACCTATTCACGCACTCTTATATATAACCATAAAGGAAGAGAATAACTAATCTAAAATGCTTCCATCTAACTAAAATTCCCATTTGCCTTTTCATAATGTAAATTGATTTCGACATCCAGTTAATAATTAATATATCGACTGAGCTTATCCATAAGATCTTAAATGCCAAAATATTGCATTTAATGTTTAACAAATTAATTGGATGAGGAACTTACCCGGGCAACATTGCCATAGAGACAGACCAAATTGAAGAGCTTATCTGTGTTGGAAGTGTCATGGTCCATGCCATAGACCATCATGACAGCGCCCTGAGGATGCAAAAAAGTAAGAGAACGCAACAAATTAATTAAAATGCTGTCCAACAGATGCTGCAGCAGCTACACAGCAGCGCAGGAGTAGCTGGAGGGGATTTGTGGGCTGTGGCTTTGGCTTTCGCTCTGGCTTTGGCTCTGGCTCTGGCTCTAGCGAGGATTGCAATGTGCGCACAAATTGTACATTAAAATTAAAATTATATTTATGAAAAGAAATGCAAGCCAAGCCAAGCCAAGCCAAAGGAGAAACCTAGTTGGGGTTCATTTCGATACTCACCTGTGCCTGCCCCTGCTGGGCGAAGGCGACTGGCGCATTGCGTCCGGCGACGACACCGGTGGGCTCCTTCATGAGGCCAGTTGGATGGATGGCGGCGCCCTTCCAGTTGTCCGGCTGGGTGGGATGGTATTCGGGTGCCCCGAATGGTGGGAAGGCGGTGCCTGGTCCCAATAGTGGAGGCTCTTTAAATGGAACAAGATTGTGCGTTTGAGCTGGGGCAACAAGTTGTTGGTGTTGTTGGTGGTGATGATGTTGGTGTTGTTGGTGGTGGTGGTTGTTGTGGTGGTGGTGGTGGTTGTTGCGATGTTGTGTTTGGATTGTTGCAACTACATTTTGTGGTGCAAGTTTCAAACAATTTGTTATTCACATATTGCATGCAACAACAATTTAAACAAGAATCGAAACCAACGAAAAAAATAAAATAGAAAAACAAAAACGCATAAAAATATTAATCAAAAGCTTAAAAATACTAAATTAAAATATGCTAAAATTATATTTAAGTTTCTTCTTCTTGTTGTTGCATGCAATTTGTGTTTGTTGTTTGTTGTAGCGCGTCACTAGCCAAAAGTTGCGGTGCTCAAAAATGTGAAAAAACGGGGAACAAAATTTATTTTGACTGTTTTAATAACAGGAGCAATAACCTAGACAGGCAGCTGGCGGTTGGGCGTGGTTCGGCCAAAGTCAGTTTGCGGCCAGGCAACTGAGCTAATTGGAAAAAGCCTGCGCCTTGCCGTATGGCAAATAACCGTAGTAGAGTCATAGAGGCTCAGAAATGGAATGTGCAATAAAAACGCGTGGAGTAAGGAAAGCAATCGATAAAATTATAGCAGTATTTCTCGCTCACATATTGTCAACATGCACAGCCCACGCAATAAACCATTGACGGGGCCAATAACAAGTCGGAGCACTGGGGTTAGCACTTGCAATGCGGCGAAAACCGCAAACCAAAGCCACGCTCGAGCGTTATAATTAAAGCAAAAAGCGTAACAAGCTGTCAGAATGTTGCGTATACGCCATGTAGCAGCGCTTGAACTGTAAGGCACAAGTTAACAAGGTTTTTACTTAATTAACTTTCTACGTATGTGACGACGTCAAACAGGAGCAGTTGCCATAAGTTGTTTGACGCTATTTAAAACTTCACCAAGGCCCTGCGCTCAACTTTATCAATGTCAGTTTAGCTACCCGAATTTGCATTGCCATTTACTTTTGCACTCCTCGCTGCTTCCTCCCTAAGCTTTGTTGTTTTGATTTGATTTAGCCACCGGACCCAATGCCGACGGCAACTGTTTGTGTTCGCTTATTCCTCGTTTTTTTTTCGTTTTGGCTGCCCCTGCACAAACTCTACCTGACAAAATATTTATATAAAAGTCTAGCTAGGGTTGCACGCGCTCAGCGCTCGCCACTTGATGCCATTTGTTTGCTTTTTTATTCACGCTTGTTAGTTTTTCGCGCTAGCTATTTTGTTTTCGACCAAATTGGAAGCAATATTTCAGGCAAAGGATATTCAGGTTGACTTCTGTATCAAAGTTTTATACGCCATTCCCAGAGGAGCAAATATTTTGTATTTATAGCCTGTCCATTTCGGACAGGGTATTTAATCCTTGGCACCTTGCAAATACTTTTTCGATTTGATTCTAGTTTTTCAGCTGCCTGCGGTTCATACGCGTTGCCCCGATGACTGTTTTCAGTTGGTTTTTTAGGTTATTTTGCTTGCCGACAAAGCTTTTAATCCTTCTGCATTTTGCATGCGAATATTTAGAGCTTTAAAAGCGTTGCGTGAGCAGGCCAAGCTGGCCATATTCAATTTAAAACTTGGCCTTAAGCAAATAAGCCACAGTTCTATATTTTTTTTGCTTGACTAGGCTAGTAGCCAACTTTATCTCGCACACGCTGCTGCTCAGCTCCAGTCAATAAATGCTCGAAAACCGAAACGTGCCACAGCCAGAGGCCAAATTTGAAGAACTCACCCGCATCTAGAGTAGAAGGTAAACAGAGTCATTCATTTCAACTATTGCTGTCTCACACACACGCACAGAGCTTTAACTGAAATTCACAGACTGCTCGCTGATTTGTTGCCCGGCGCATGGGGCGTATGCGTGACGCGAAGCTCAAGTTTTCGGTCAGTTTTGCGAGTTGGAGAAAGAATTTCATAGCCCTCAGGGGGGGCATTGTGGGTAGCGGAGGTCAGTGGGCCGCAGTCGGAAGCGTGCCTAAAATGTTTAAGCAATTCGCGGCAGGCGAATTGTTGCATGCAATTGCTGAAAATTTTCACACGCAAGCATCAGGTGAGAAAGTCCTCGCCGTTCGCGTCGTTCCGCAGGTGTAAATTTTGTGCGCACACAAAATTATTTTAGATTATGAGCAAAGGCGCCAGCCTGGAAGCGTGGCAGCCCACAAGAGCTCCGGAAGTTGCAGTTTAGTTTTTATGAAGCGCGAACTGTGCGCGATGGCAATTTAACTCCTTCGTCGTGTAGATTTGCATGCGACTTACTCGTACGACACGGGCACCACAATTAAGTGCGGAAATTGCAAATAATGTAAATTAATGAAGTTCGACAACTCACCTAGCGCGGTTAGGAAACTGCAAATAATTGCCCAAAGGCAGGCAGGTTTTGATCAAGTTTATAATTTTGACATTCAGCGCAAGTTCTGGGCATATTAAAACAGCATGTGTCTAAATTTAATTAAACAAATAGCTAAGTAAAGCAATTGACAGCTGTGTGTAAATTAGTTCTCATGTTTGTTGAAGGCGAAATAATGGAAAACTTTTGCCCAAGTTTGGCAGATGAAGCATTTTAAGTATTTACTTTGCTGAAGTATGGCAACAGTGCGCACTGGTATTTGCCAGCGACAGTTATTTAGTCTAGTATGGCAACAGCGCAAAGTTAAATTTGGCAACAGCTAAGCAAAATCTGGGAAATTTATTGTGTTCTCATCCACAATGAACTGTGGCAACAGTGGCTTCTTGAAGCATGGCAACAGCGCACAGTTAAATTTGGCAACAGCTGACTGAAAGCTGGGAAATTCATGGTTTTCTCAAGCAATTGAATTCTGGCAACGATGCAATATTTTCAATATTAACACTACTGAAATATGGCAATCGCGTCATCTTTTAGCTTCTCATCCCGGACAGCCACGCCTTTTCCTAGTGCGAGCATGGGAAACATAAGATAAACTAGACACGCTGCGAACATTATCACCAACTGCACTGCAATAAGCCGCCACACCACTACAGGCAGCCCATAAACACTAGCAGCTCCCAAGTTGATTCGGAAATGCTGCACCTGCCAGCTGCTGCTCCCGCTGACAAATGGATACAGAAAAGAGGGGGTGGGGCACACATAGATCCATTAAAATGGGCTGCTGCATCCACTCGAGCAGAGAGCTGGGGAAAACACAGCTCGCATGCAACTCGTTCGGCATATGCAACATTTATGTGGCGTTTATTGCAACTGCGAGGACGAGGGAGCGTACAAAGTATTTATGCTACAAATTGTTGCATACTTTGTGGCATATTGGCGCACTTTGTCGAGCGGCAAATGGCAGCGGCTGCGACCGGCTTGAATATCGCATAGCCAAACAAAGCATTGTGCAAACGTTGCCAACCTTAATTGCAATTTGCTTAAATGTATGCTACACTATTTTTCACTAAGCCACACAAAGTGGGTGAGAGAGAGAGAGAGAGAGAGCTGCCCCTTCGTTACATTGTATAGCAACCACCCTCTCCTATCCCCCTCGTTGTTGCTTAGGTGAGCATTTTACTTTCGCTGTTCAATGATTTTCAATTTGTCAGAGTCAACTTTGCTGCGCAACTGTACCAAGAGTCACGGCACAGCCCCTATACGGTCCCCCTTCCACTTCCTCTGTTTGCCCTGCTTGTTTATCTGACTGAAATGCATTGCTACCCCGCCCAGTGGCACGCCCTCACTAGCCCTCACGCATTCACTCTGGCTGTCATGTGACATTAATTTTTCCAGCAATGCGGTGCTGCTCATGCAGCAACCCTTAACCCGCCCACATTTTGCGCACGTCTTGCATAAACATTTTCATAAGCAGCTTCCAAATTGAATTTGTTTTCATAAGCCAAAACTATTATGCGATAGAGTTTTATTTTTTTTGACTATCTCTTTCAGTGAGTGTGTGCTATGAGATATATGCATATAATCTAGAGCATATGCGCGTGTGTGTAGAGCTTGATTATGTGACAATGAGCCTGATTGGTTTTTAATGTTGTTGACGGCTGCGTGGAGCAACAGCTTTGTTGACTCCTTTAACAAAAGAAATTTTGAATGAAAATAAAATATATTTATGGATCAGAGCTAAGCAAATACTTTCATTTTTTTTTTTTGGCTACTCATATGTAATCTGCATAAATTTGAAAATTATACAAATATTTAAGACAAACCTCTAACAACAATTCCCATAACTCAAAGAAATGCAAACGAGTAAGCTGAAGCGGAAAGAAACAGGAATGCTTATCATAAAGAAAAAAGAAATTTGGGAACAGAAGCAGCCAGCAATGAGCCAATTTATATGCGACACGCGACCAGATACCGAACCATCGACCAATTCCCCCTAAGTATTCGACAGTATTCCAGCCAGAAATTAGCCAGAATGAAGCAGCTAAGGACTTTTGGAAAGGATTTGCGCGTGATGTTTTTTTGTTGTTGAATACTTAACGACACGCTGCTTTCGCTGGCTAAATAAATTTACGTTTAATTCTCATGAGCTTAATTACATTTACGGGTCGGATTTGAATAGGAATAAACGCGTGTAATTGTCGAAGCGTCGCTCACCTTTCGCTTTCTTTTAGCCGAGTTCTTGGCTCAAGCTAATTGGCATTGAAGTTTGAGGATAAAGGTCGAGTTTATAATTTAACTCATTAGCGATGGTGTGCATTAGGTGTGCAGGTGTGCGGTGTACAGCGTGTGTGTGCACAGCAAATTGCTGCAGCATTTGGCTCTGCTCAAGCTGTTTGGCCTGGCCTAATTAACGCACTGGTAAACATTTATAGCCATGGTCAAACGCTGCTCTTTAATGCTTCGCAAACACACGCGCGCCGCACACACATGAATGTGCAATCAGACCATACACAAGCACACATTTGTGGCATCAAAGACTTCCAATTTGGTCCATCAACAATTTTCACAAACCCACAGCCAAACAAACCCCAAACCCAACCCCAACTGAAGAGTTCCCTTTACGTATTGCACTTCAATTTTTGGCTACATAAATCCAGCGCTCGCCTGCTCTATCATATAGCTATCTTGCCACATTGCTGAAAATAAAAGAGGAATGCCACAAAGACATTTGGGCCAAAGCAGTC